ATGAAAAACTATTATTTTAGGCACAATATGAACTGGAACACTAAAAAGGTTGGCCGAAAGGCTTTGTTGTACTAAATTCAAAACATTTACTTCCGTAAGGTCCAGTCTTCGCTCCGACTCATTTACTTGCGCTGCGTACGGAATACCTGCATGTTTACGCTGACAGAGTGGCAGAAGCTTGTCCGATCAAGGTCCAGCACTTGATTCGGTGTTCGCTTAATACAGGTTGCATTGTATTGCAGGGTCAAACCGGCGTAAATGCGAAGGCGTTTTGCCGCGATGACGAGCTACACTCACTGATCAGGGGTATAGAAAGGTACCTAAAAAATGCGGGTCTCGGAAAATTTCGACCCACTCTCAAAATGTTGGAAGCGCTTGTGATAGGTCTCGAAGTCTCGTTTCCGGGAGATTTTTGCGTCTCGGAGTCTTGATCTTTTTTGCGGACGGGTCTCGGAGTCTCGGATATGTGTTTTTTTTCTTTCCGTTTGGTGGCAGGAGACGAATTTTACAAAGTGCATGGGTACAGCTTATTGAAGTGAACTAGTGGATCGAGAGTAAAACAAGAGAAAGCCGTATATTGGTAGCCTTCCGCTGGCTTCCGTTTGCGTTTTCGGTCATTTCTTTATAGTTTTATTTGTATTATTACCTCGAAAGTTTGAGTCTCGGGCTCGGAATTGATAAAAACGCTCAAGTCTCGGTCTCGAATTGTCAAACCACTCTCGCAAAGTCTTGAATTTACCATTCTATACTTCTTCACTGCTGCTTGTCTTATGATGATGAATATTAACGAAAGGTTAATAACAACAAAAACTAACTGCAGAGAAATTTTCATTGACTTTAATCCTTTTTATAAATTTTAGATCAGAACTATACTCCATAAAAACATTGTAATTTTACAGTATTCGTACTGTGGTACTCACTGAGCCTGGGTAACCTGTTTGCGTACCGCGTCAGAGAAGGAAATAAGCGACATAAACGGGTTCTCGAGTGTTTTAGTACGCTTATGCTGCCAACGAATCCACTATTAGTCTTAAAGGCCCTAAAGATTTTATCGGACTATTGGACTGTTTCCAGTCCAATAGGCCCTGTTACCCGCGTTCGCAGTCACGTACATGTATACAAACAACATTCGATTTGTCCCAATACATTGTGTCCACAAATCTACAAATACTAGAAAACATACCGTGGTAAGTTAATTTAACCGCGGCAGGATAATACTCGGGGTCTCAAAATAATTATGAGAGGTCTGAAAGGGAAGAAAGGTACTTACTTTGCCTTGCAAACGGCTAGACGTTCGCGAGGCTCGGATGAATATACGTAAAATGGCGGTCCTGCCGTCTTCAGTCACGGGCGACGAAAAAATGGTGTCCTCAATTAGTAAGTTCGTGCTTTATACTACTACATGAGAAAATTCTGCAATTTTATTGGCTTAGAGTAGTCGTATTTCATCTTGGTTTGTAATACCTACATGTGAAAATTACAAACCTTGTGTGGGTAGTAGTATAAACAAATAATAGCATGATTTGCACGTGATATTTCAAAATTGTCGCAAAATTCACTCGCCTAACGGCTCGTGAAATTCCGTATAACAATTTCGAAAAATCACTCTTAGTATTTATGCCAAATATCACTAGAAAACATGCTATTACCAATACAAATACATTGACACTAAAATAAAGTGCATTTTATTATTTGCTTATTTACTTATTTATTGCTTTTTTATCATTCTAAATCTGCTATACTGGCTTCATTGCAAGAGTGCAAACTGCAGCTCATAGAGATGTACTCATCTGGTGGATTTCCTGAATGTATACAGACAGCATGTGATCGTGAAACATGAAAAACTTTAACAAGCAAAATTTTCTTCCTTGTTGTTTTCAGGACTAATGTCACTGCACCAAGATGTACCCCATGGCCTTGATATGCATGTCACCATTATCACCCCCGAACACTGCTTCATTTCCACATGTGTTGGAGTCGTCGGGATACCCATCAGTACCAAACCCGATTCTGGAATCACACAAACTGTAGCAGTCTATTTCATTGTTTCCAAGGATACCGATTCTGGCTTTTGAAGTTGCTTTTTCGTCACAGTTTACATTGAATCCTTCCCTGTTACAATTGAGCTGCAAGGAGGCCTCTGAACCAATCAGTGACTTCCAAGTGTCACGACCCAGTGAGGTGTTGCGGTATTGCCCATCAGCGATCAGAGAGTACAAAGAGTTTGCCTTCTGGTTGATGACAATAAACTTGATCTGCTGGCCGATCTTCATACCGAGACAGATTTTCGAGAAGGCTATGTTCCAGTAGGAGGGAAGTTTTGTTTCTTGGGTGTCAAACCCAGTCTTCCCTCCAACCAGGTTAAAGGTTTCTTTGTTGCTCCAAAAGGCCGTATCGTATTGAAACGTTTGCTGTGATAGAAAAAAGAAGAAGGACACGAAAAATTTATTTACAAAGATAAGGTTGAAGGCTTTTATTTGTCTTTTCAAGGCGAGCTGGTGAGATTCATATAAAATTTGGTACGTAGCCTTTTTTTCAGAATTAAATGAAATAAGCTTCCGCAGGAGCCCCAGCATGGCGTAATAAACAGTTTACTGAGAGTGCTTCATAATGAGACCCATCTTGCTAAGGTGTGAATGACTCATAAATAAAATATTCTTTTGTAATTTCTCCTCCTCCAATCTATGCTATAGCGCTTAAGAATAGATGAAAGTAAATCTTCCTCGAAGATTGATGCACATAATGATCCCTTTTTAGCTTCATCTTTTTCAGCCAATTCATTAACACTTTGTTTTCAAATTGCACCAAAGTATCATTTTTAATGTAGTGCCGTCTGCGAAGGTAGTCTAAATTTAAAAATACTTAATTTAAATCCTTCAGATTCTAATGCAGAAGCCCAATGACGTGTTCCTATCCCACTGTTATTAAGTGCTTCTTAAAGAAGACACCAGGATTTCGTTGTGGTAAAAAAAGTAAGATAAACTTGAATGACCTTTTCCGGCTTATCAAAAAAACCAAGAGAGGATAACGGGGACAGAGAAGGCATCCCCCATACACACCCTATTCCATAGGTAATTCGTCTCGAATCATTTTTAGAATCGGGATAAAGTTACCTCTCGCGCTGCATGGATGTTCGTCAACAAAACGAATAGCAATGGCAATATCGCTCTCCGCCATTTTGTTCTGCGTCAATTCGTGAAGGACGCGTGGCTCTGAGCGTGGGTCATCCACGCGGAACACATTCGCGCTATGTGATTGGCTGTTGTCTAACCCCCTTGGGATCTGTGGTCTTAAAAAAAACTCGCGAAGAATTACCTATGGAATAGGGTGTGTATGGGAGATACTTTCTCTGTCCCCTTTATCCTCTCTTGAGGAAACTTAGTACTGGTCTGATTCCGCTGACTGGTTCGACGCGTCCTAAGTTCGACCTCTGACCAAACAGACGATCTTAACTTAATTTAGGTATCCAAGTTTGCGGGTCGAATAGAAGACAGAACTCTTTAATTTAATAAATAAAGGATTGATCAAACCCTCCAGTGTGTCATGACAAAAGTGGATTCTCTATGTCATATGTGCACACGTGAACACCTTAAATCAAGTGCCCATATTTTATCCAAGTCATGATTATCTCGTCAACTTGTCGATGTCAGTCGTTGTACGTCGTGCATTCTCGTTAAATAAATGCATAACAATGAGCATTAGATGCTCCCCGCGACCTTAAAAGCCCCAGGGGTAGGGTCCGCTTTGAGGTTCAACCTCTTACCTTTTCACAAACCATTTTTGACAGGATAGGTGCCTTTTGTATACCTTCTATTGACAAATGGCACGGCCCTTTCATATGCCTAGTTCTTTACATTCCTTTTAACTGCTGTAAACGCACCTTCTTTTAAAGTGAGTGCATTACAAAACCAGAAAGTTCTCTCCTTTTTTTTCCACAGCCATGAAATGCATTTGTTAGCCCTTTTGTTTCCTTTTACACCAAATAGCCAAATTCCCTACCCTTTCATATACCTCACAGTGGCGATAACCAGAAGCCTGAAAAAGGTACATGTACCCCTCTAGCTAGTAATTCACGTGGTAAAAAACCATCATGCTGGAGAGCAGGAAAAACACTGGCACAAAAAAAGGCAAAAAGACTCAATTAGTTATTCATGGCAATTTATTTGTCTTGTCCCAGTACGTCTCCAGCATGGCGGTTTTATACCATCTCAGGAGCCCATGACCACGTGAATGACTAGCTGCAAAGGTTTGATGTGCCATTATATATTACGCGCCAAGAATCAGTGAACCGGAACCAGGAAGAAAAGTTGTCTTCAATGGTATAGATAATGAAAGCGGCATGAAAAACAACTTGCATAATTCAGTTACGGTGCATTATTTCTAAATGACATAGAGGTTGCCGCCTATTCCTTCTTGAAAATGAATAAAACATTTAACATTTTTCTAATATTTAGTCCACCAATCAAAATACCTCGGAACCAAAGAAGGATATGACGCACATTATGTAAAATAAACAGTGACATCATCGTAACCAAATAAGGACATGACCCCTTCAGGTTAATCACTGCTCAAAAGTAACTAGGAAAGTAAAGAAACCTTCCAAACTAGTTTAAAATCAATTATGACCATACATAACAAACCTAAAACCTGTCAAACCGATTTAACAATCAAAAAATAACTCTTTGACGTTATCTTAATGAGATTCCTCCGCATTTCTCTCACGAGATAAAGACATTTAAAGGCTCTGACGGCGCTTATCATCGGTGCTTATGTTTTCTGCGCAAACTAATAAGATTCCTGGGCAAAAAAGGAGTAAAACATCCTTGCTATACCACTTAACACATGGGCACCCGGCCTTCGATCTTCATCTGCGAAACTGTGTTCATTCCTATATCGGCCTTTCCCAGTCTTAACAACACAAGACGGACGGATAATTACTGCTACTGACCTAGATATACCGTGTACTACAGTGGTCTAAATAAAATGCTCAAGTCCTTCGTTCAGATTGCAATGTTATTATCCACTGTTATTATGGGCAATGTTGGAAGAGCGTATACCTTGTTTCCATCAATCTTCATAGCCAAAGTCCATCCACCAACTCCACATGCGTCAGTTTCCGTAGTGGTCATGTTGCAATGAATATCTAAAATGTCATCTCCCAAAATCAGTGGGTAAGCTTTGCTTTCATTTGATCTACAAGGAACAAAATATCTTAATAAGGGAGATCCTGGGACAAAAATAAACAGTTCAGCCCAATTGATCGCTAGTAACGATCGGCTAGTGTCTCTGGCTTGTCACGCAAACCTTTAATTGCGTGACGAGCCAAAGGACTAAGGACTGCTGGAGGACTAAAACGGCTCACAACGATCCTTGTCGCGGGGAGAGCAAGATTGCGGAAGGTCGTCGAAGTTAAAAAACGTTTTTCTGACTTCTTTAGTTAACACCTCCAGCTTAAATGCCAATTCTGTCCATAATATCATCAGAAAGCAATGTCTAAAAAAATAAATATTACGCAAAAGCAATTAAGCCAAGTTCGTGGCGCGAAAGAAATGTATATAGTACGTATGGACGCAAATTAAAGTAGTAGACACTGAAAACCTAGCTAATACTGAATATATCGCAATGGTGTCGACAACACTGACCCGATGATCTTGCTCAAACTTAATTTTATCTTATTGTTGGTTTTCACATGACGTCACTAAAGTTCAAACTGTAAAACAAGCAGTACTGCAATTTTACTTTCATGACGTATACGTATTAGAGCAACTAAAAACTAATATTCACACAAACTTTTGCTTCGAAAGGATTTTTGGTTTTGTGGTAGAGTACACACTGTATGCTTGAATTTAGAAGCTTATGCTTGACGAGGCATTTACATGACGGCCGAGAGACAACGGGAAATTTTGAGAAAAAGACCTTAAAACAACAACAAAGCATGAATAAAGGTTTCTGAATCCATTTAAAGCATTTTGGGAGATTGCTGGGGAAAATTTATCTGTTCCTCACTCCCAGCAAGACTGATGGAAGAGTTCCCAGCCAGGAAGGTGCATCTACAACCTGCAACCTGACTTGCTCGGACGTTTCACAGTAGACGTATGTCCAGACATTACTGACCAGTTTGGGTGTGGTCATAGGGAAAAATTCGGACCTTCAGTGGGGAGGGGGGATTAGGAAAAACGGTGTGGCCCAAGGGCGAACTTCACCCCCTTAGTGGGGGAGGGGGGGTTGGGAGGGGGAGAACTAGGTTAGCAGCATAACAGCAGGAGCCTATCACCGTGATGGCAGCTATTCTAGACATCAAATCCCCTCAGACACTCTTATTTGTCTTTTTCCCAGCAACACTTTCCTTCCAAGGACATATTATTTCCTCTACATCTCCCAGCCAGCAGAAATTTGCGGAACAGATCGATTGGGTGCCCCTAGGGAGAGCTGTCAAGTAGGTTAAAAAAGTGACTTATTTCGGGCTATTGTGCTATCTGAACAGTTCGTGTATTAGAAAAAGTATTACTTTAATGTTTATGAGTTCCTTGAGAGATAAATGCAGGCTTTCGTAGCAAAACTCAGTGACAAATGTTTCTTTTGCTTTCCGGTCGCCATGTTGGTGCCAATCCGAATGGGCACCTACATGACGTTTTCATACAAAGCTCTATAAATTTGGGTAAAACATTTCTCCGGAAATCGCGCATATGAAATATCGCTCTGACTTGAATCTTGGCGAGGGTCTTTGCATATTTACCTCCTTTCATTTCCAAGATTCTGGACTTTATCTGCTGTATGTAACAGTTTTGACTTTTAATTCGATCAGTTTTGGTTGCAGTGACACTGAAAACCCGGCAATATGTATCTTTTGTCTGTATGTGATCATACCCAGCGTAGTCAACCAAGTGCCCTTTTCAGGTCTGTGTTTATTGCTTTTTTGTTCCCACTCAGTGTGGAATACCTGTGGTCATCAGAATAGGGCTTCTCAAATATTTTTAGTAGCGCTTCTAGCTTACGTGTAGAGGTGGTGTGCATTTTGTTTAACAACATTCATGAAACAATTTGTTGATTCGGAAGGAAGAGTTATTCCAGTAGATTTGGAAAAAGGCAATTAAATCAATTAACTGCGTATTGAAGGTAGCAGTAAGTTGAAGGTTTTCTTGCGACACCACCATCATCGCATTTACCAGGAATAACTTCGAACAATTGCAATCGATATATCATAATGACAGCTGATAAATCACTCATATTTGGATCTCACTCGACGGGCAAACCAAGCACAGTTCGGGCGCATTCAGCTGTACCGACTTATTTTGTTATTTTAAGGGCATAAAAAGAAAACTTTTTATTTTTTTACTCACATTTTCTTGTCAAAAAGATCCTTACACGATGAAACTGTGCAACAAGATAAACAAGGGGGTAATTAATATTTAAGAATTGTCATATAAACCTTAAAGAAAACAAGCATTATTAGAGACCTTCAGAGTCTAATTATTCAGCTTGATTCTTTTGAAAAGATACCTTTAATATTAAAAATACCTTACCATCAATTTCTGTTTGAAAAGAAGACCTACCACCGTATTCAGTTGGATGTGTGTCCATATTCTATATCAAGAGCAATAATTGTGGCTCTTGTCTATATATAAAAATACTGCCGTTTAACCATCATAGAATAATGGCCAAGTAAATTGTACTTTTCGACTGAGTGATTTAACGGTATTGTCTGCTTACATAGTTTTACAAAAATCTTCCAAGTTGATACGAAGCCTGTCATTTTACCTGGTTCACAATTCTTTCCATCTCCATAATATCCCGGATGACAAGTGCAGTTGTATCCTCCCTTGGTATTATTGCAGATGGCATTGGCACCGCACTTGTGGGTATTTTTTGCGCATTCGTCAATGTCTACAAAAACAGATTATAATTAGTCCATCCCAGGTAGTCTATTAAATGGAGAAACTCGCGAAAAGTGTTGGCTGGACTACAAGATGGAACACAAGATGGCGAACTGAAAATTGAAATTGGCAACAATGATCCCATACATGGGACCAGTGTATAGCAGGCTCTTCACACCATTATTCGCTTTTTTCTCTTCAAAAGAACCTAATCACTCTAATCCCAGGCCGATCCACATTTGACGAGGCTAAGAAATTAATAAAACTAAATGCCAAATGTTACATAATTTTCACAGAGTAGAAGGTTCATTAAATTGGCAATCTGCCAACAGTTTAAGTTTCTTTGTAGCACTGAAATATTTGCCAGATACAGACAATTGCTTCCAACAGTACACCTCTTCCGCTATTCTATATTTATCATAAGGGGCAAAAAAAAACTAAAGAACTTACCTAGTTCACATTTTTCTCCACTCCATTGCGGATTGCATGAGCAAGCGAAAGCGTCTTTTTCTTTGTCGAACAAACAAGAACCTCCATTGAGGCATCCAGCCATCAAACAACCCTGCAGAAAATTGCATTTTAATTACTTTAGTAAGCGTTACAGTTTTTTAAAACTGTAACGCTTGAATTTGAACGTTTTCTCCTAAAACATCTGTTAAGACACTATCAGATGTTTAAGGAAAAAAACGTTCAAATTCATGTGATCCTTGCAGTGCGTACTGATCTCTCAACATAACTTTTTTAAGGCACAATGCAAATCATATCTGTACAATATATTTTTTGAACTTAGAAACCAAAATATAAACTCTCCTTGAATTTTGAATTGCACTGCTCATTTTTCTTAACAGTCTTAACTGCAGTTTTAAAAAAAGTAAACCAATTGAAGGCAAGAATACATAGCCGTCAATAACATTTAAAACTTGTCCCGGACTGAAACTGGTGGCAAAAGGAAGTGAATATGACTGGCTCCAATACAAGACATATCCCCGCTTTGGATGCCATTTTTGATAAATGCATCCTAACAAAACTCAACTTTACTGTTTTTCCAACAGAACAGATGTGTGTTAGTTAATAATTGATTTCAACGCAGTTCTTACATCGCGTACGTTGTTGACAAACCTCTCTTCGCCTTACCTTAAGAAACATTGAAAACGTTGTCCCCATATTATCAGTGAGCTTGGTGTCATCATCTGCACTTATTGAAAACTCGTGCTTGTTCAGTTCACAATTGCCTGAGGACTCTTTAAAGTTAGAAGAAGTACACCAAGAATGCCTTAAACATGCTTGACTGCATGCCATTTCATCCGTAGAATCGATTCTCTTTACAGCATAGCCATGTAAACGCTTGTTCTCTTGGGCTACTATGTAGGAAGATCTGGATTCTTCTTCGGCTGCCAAAACTGCTCCAAAGATGAAGCAGAATATGAGTGAGCAAATCATTTTATCCGGCAACCTCTACAATCTTCCAGCGCCGTTTTCATCAACAGGGTGTGTGTGTAACAGAGGGATAAAGGGAAAGGTTTCTCAGGAAATTCCAGACTTCGCTAAAGTCTAGCATAGTGCTTATTTATGTATTATTTTATGCCAAGCACCAAAAAAATGTCAGTTTGTCGCGGTTTTAATCGGATTTCTAATTCTTGGTATAATCCAAGATGGCGATCATTGTTGGTGACGCGATGGGCTTCCAGCAGCGCCATCACCCGTAAAATGTACCTCATCTTGTTGACAGAGAAGATCAAGGGCTTTCCACTGAAGAAAAAAATCTTTTCAAAACCTCTAAGGAGGGTTCTATCAACCCCCCTCCCCCCTTGTACCACGGTAGGGGTATGAATTTGCGTGTACGTCCGAGGGTTAAATTCTAATGCGTTAACGAAAAGTACAAAGTTTTCTGAGAGAATCCACTTTTGAGCACAACACAACCAAATCCAAATAGCAATACCAAATAGGGCAAAAAATTCGGCAAAATATGAGTCAGGGGAACCCAGCGAGAATGTAGTTCAAAACCACTTAAACATAGCATTGTTGAACGTATGTTAGTATTTAAACGGTAGATATAGGCATATTTTTATGGGCCCTAAAATTTTTTCATCTGTTCCGATTTCCTAGCTGAAAGTCTAGTGATCCGAAGTATAGGGATCAAAACTTTCCTTTTCGAAAATTTCAGCCAGAAAAAAGGCTTCCGAAAACTCTAGGTGACCTTTTTAGGGTAAAAATCCGTTAAAAATGGGCAATTATACCATTTTTTAGATGTTCGAAAATCCTAGGAGAGGCGGGCAAGCAAGAAATTTTACAACAAATGTTCCGAAAATCCTAGATTTTAAATCGTCTTCCGAACAGATATTTTCCGAAAATTGACGTTGGGTGCCCCTGATGACTGTTAGGTTTTATGATTATAATGAACTAGAAGTCGCAAACGTTAGTTACATGTCAAAACCGAAGCAGGTTGGGAAAAGATAAAAGAGGACTTTAGGCGCTCGATGAACACTTGTGAATATATGGAATCTAAATTAAAACCCGCCAGTTCTATGACAGATAATTTACGACCTTAAAAGTTAAAATCATAATTTTGTGTGCTATCAAAACTGATTAAAAAAGAAAACATAGTTTACATCCACAGTCCTCACTTAGATCGGGCAAAATTTTAGGAGCTCTTATACATTCTCTCCTAACGCACTCACCGGAATTTTTAGTTACCAAGGAAAGTCATATGTTACATACAAAGCACAAGAAGTCATGTCAGTCTATGTCCTTCTATAAAAATAAAAGAAAACTAACCTTCCATTTGAGCAAAAGCCGCATTAGGTATCACAGAAAGCAACGGAATGAAGGGCAACGAGCAAAAGTAAAAAGAGAACATCGCTGATTGGTGAGGAGACTCTTGGAGAACTCCGTGAAATTGAGAAACCTGACAAACTCTGTAAAACACGGAGTCTTTTCCAAAGCGATAGGTGTCCTCAAAACCATCAATTTATATGCAATATTAGATGTTAATTATCTATGAATTTCTTTTTAATTGTGTGTGTCGCTTCTGGCAGCCAGGCTAATTAGAACATCAGTCAAACCTGAGTTGTTATGTCTGATCAGCGCGTCTGTTGTATTGCATACTTAGTAAACAATCTTTGGAAGCTGAGAGATGTTTACCATTTACACAAACCACCCAGGTGGAAATCTTGTGCACAGATATAAAACTATTGAAAATTTTCAAACGAGGTGCATAATTATGGTCTCAGTGAAAATGGTAAATAAAATTTCACGTAGTTTGAGAACGAACCGCTACAAATTATATCCAAATCGGCTGAACAGACTGAAAAGGACACAAAAATTACTTCGTCTTAAATCTTCTCTGAAGCTTGGAATGACACAAACAACCAGAATGTTCAGTTTTCCCAAGTAAATTGTAAATTACACAGGTGTTCCACCCTGAGCTGTAAGCCTTTTTGACACTTTAAACAGTAAGAAGAAATTAAAAGTAGAACATAAAGGCGTATCTGAAGTAACTTATAAGCTCAGTCGGTGTTATTTTTTAGCTCTATTAATTCATTTCTGTCGTTAGTGTTATGACAATACCCAGCTGAATTTTAGCTCTTGCCTATTTAAAATTTGCTTATTACTCGGCGTTAAAAAGAGAGAGTTAATAGAGAAACACTAATTAAAGGAAGTTGTTTCAAATAATTTATAAGCTCGAGTTTTCGCTATAAATAAACCTGCTTAGAAATATAACTAGCTCAAGGCAAAATGTTTATTTAAGAACGAATGTCGCTAAGGATTGAGCAAAATAATTGGAAATGGTCAAACAAAACCTTCCCTCATACTTTGTGTGTAGTTAGTACTTCAGATGACACTACTAACTGGCATTTGTTTGACTTCTAACAAAAACCTGCAATGGGCATCAGGGGGGGAAGTTTGAGCCAAAATTGCACTTTTTGGGACAATTTTCTCCTTGAAAATTGGAGTTTTGTTTGGTAAATATTTCAGAAAGCAGACTCAATTTTTCTCTAGGCCCCCACTGACGGTCCCTGTACATTGTCATTTACAAGGGCGGGAAACGTTTTTTTGACAAGGCTTAAAAATAGACATTTTTGAACCCCTTTTTTTCTTACTAACACTCCGATTTAGATCAAAATTGAAACAGGATGTAAATATTTCACCCTTTGTGAACCATTCCATGCTTAGAAATCCGGGGGCACTCGATACATTTTTGCATGCCAATCAAATGAAAATGTATACCTGAGACAAAATAGTAAATTTTCGCAACTTTTGTTCGCCGCTATCTTTCTTTTAAATCACGTCTTTGGGGCGATGTTAAGCAAGAACGTTGGATGGTTCCTATAGATTACATTCCTTTACGTTTTAGAGTCAGTTATTGGGAGACGCTTATTTAGTTGCACATATTTACATTTTTTTTGTTTTAACTTTGTGGGATTATTTGACGCAGGGGACCAGTCGCACAAAATGGTTTACGCTCTTCATCGTTTTACGCTTGGTATCTACTGTTAGTATGACTGTGAGCGGGTCCTGTAGGGGGAAGCGGGTTTTGCCAAATCCCCGGCACAAGAGATTGCGGCACATGAACAATTTGCGCAAAAGGAAACTGGGCACTATTATGCTTTGCAAAGCAGATACAGTTGACTCCCGATAACTCGAACCCTCGCTAACTCGAACCTCGCGCTAACTCGAACCAAAATCGATTTCCCCTGGATTTTCGTCATACATTCGGTGTAATTTTACCCTCGGTAACTCGAACTCCCGCTAACTCGAACCAACTTTCGTTTCCTCTCAGGTCATTTTCTATATAATTTTACCCTCGATAACTCGAACCATGTTATGAACCCTTAAAAAGTGGGGAAAAAAAGCCGTCTACTGGCGTCCGAAACATTGAATTTTGGATTTCCTATTGACGTGTTGTAGGAGTATCGTTTATACTAGTGGAGGCTGATGTTAGAGACCTTAAGATACCCCGATATCGGTGTACGGGTACGGGTAGTGTACCCGTACACGTAAAATGTTCATGTGCGTGACTATTTCGATTAAGATACCCGAAGAACAAGCACGCAAAATTAACTTTGTACATGCATGTCGCTTAATGCATACAAAATCTCCCTCAAATTCTACACTTCATATCTTAACAACAAGCTGCAACAAATAATTCATTCATACATAAGCTTATTGAAATATCATAGAAAGATTTTAAGAAACTTGGCGGGAAGTCCCTCGACCGAAAGCTTGTTATCGCAAACCCCGCCAT